GGGGCGGGGCACATTGCATTATGAGTGTGGGCCTGCACACGTGTGCTGTGATTTCAGCAGGCGAGGAGAAAAAGGTTAGCCATGAAAAAAATGACTTATAACTGGTTCTCCCACTTATGATCACCTCAGCATCTGTATGGTTAGGTGATCAAAATTTATGCAGGTAACTGGCATCTATTTATGACTGTTGCAGAATCCTGGGGTCACATGACCAGCATTTGTGGTCTTCCCACTGGCTTCCAACAAGAGAGCTGGATTTGCTTAGCGACTACACGATTCACTTAACAACTGCAGTGATTTCCTTAACAACAGTGGTAAAAAAAGGTCATAAAGTCGGTTGGAATTCTGGGAGTTGAAGTCCTCCCATCTTAAAGTAGAGAAAGTCACAATGGAGAAACACATTGCTCCAGGTTATAAAATGGAAATACTAATTACCTATCATGAGAAGAGAATTTTACTTAGTATTTAGATTTACTTAGTATTTAGATGGATCAAAAACAATGTTTCTCAAACCTCTTTAGGACTAGTGGCAAATTCTATCTCAGTTTCTCCCATATATCTGCCACTTACCGGGATAAAGAAGTACCGTCTGTCGAATCGTCCAATCTCTCTTTGTCCTTGTCTGCAGCAGGGCTTTTGCTGGATGGGAATTGGGACATTATTTCATCTGGGGATAGAAAGGGAAGGGAAGGAAAGGAAGGAAAGGAGAAAGGGAAGGGAAGGAGAAATCTTTGACTCGTGCTATTCCACACATCAGCCATCAGAGGGCAGCACTGCCACACTTCTAGGCATGAAAGAACATCTGGAAAACACATATACACCCAGAGAGGAAGTACATGCTAAAAAAAAAAAAAAAGCTTGGAAAATTGGGCAGAAATACGTTGAAAGGAAGAAGCAACTTCCTCCTGCTGCGCTGAAATCTGGCAACGTCACCCAGGGCAGAGAAGGAACTTCCATTCTTCATTCAAACCTGCCTCGTGTTGGAAAGTGCAAATCATAGGAAGCCGATGGAGGAAGGAATAAATGCTCCATTGCAAGGAAAGGTCAGGCCTCGTGGGATATATTGGATGTGGGTGGGGAAAATCTGCTTGGAAACGGGAGGTGCATTTAGAGAGCTTCTGAGACGTAGAGGCATCTCTGTTCAACAGACGGGGTATTTGCAGTTGAGAGAGAAAGCCTTAAGGCTGGTTTTGGAAGTTACAAACTTTGAGAAGTGAAGCACTTCTGGGTGCTCTGCTTTATGTCAGCCCAGAAGTATTTACATCAGCGGTTTCCAAACTTGGCAACCATAAAACGTGTGGACTTCAACTCCCAGAATTCCCAGCCACCAGCAAATAAACACCCAAGATACCACAGCAAAGAGCAATGCCTGGAGCCTTTTTTCACAGCCATTTTACACAAACCATCACTTGTACTCGAGGGACTTTAAGGACCACCCTGATTTATTTACCTAGTACTGAATGTTTGACAAAATCTAGAGACCGGAAAGGGTCAGAAAAGACCCCATTTTAATTCTCACTCAACCAGAGATCTTATTGAATCCAGTTCTCTCAGCCCGACCTGATTGATAGGATTGCTCTGTTAACAATAAAAGAAGGTGATATCCCAGCCACACCAAGTTGAGTGTCAAAGCAAAAGGCAGAGCATACATAAAATGGCTAAATTGAAAACTCCAGGTAGTCCTTGACTTACAACAGTTCGTTCAAAGTTACAACGGCACTGAAAAATGTGACTTACGATCGCTTTTCATAGTTACCGAGTTACCTTTGCAGTATCCCCGTGATCAAGGGATCAAAATTCGGATACTTGGCAACTAGTTCATGACCTTTGCTGTGTCCTGGGATCGTGTGATCCCCTTTTGTGACCTTCTGACAAGCAAAGTCAATGGGAAAACCAGATCCACTTAACATCCAGGTTACCAACTTATCAACTGCAGCGATTCACTTAACAACTGTGGCAGGAAAAGTCATAAAATGGGGCAAAACTCACTTAACAAATGTCTCACTTAACTACAGAAATTTGGGGCTCAGTTGTGTTCGTAATGGCTAGAGGACTACCCGTAATGGCTAAATTAAGAACTACAGTTTGTCCTCTACTTACAACCACAATTGAGTGAATCAGTGCAGTTGGTAAGCTAGTAACCCGGTTGTTAAGTGAATCTGGCTTCCCCATTGACTTTGCTTGTCAGAAGATCACAAAAGGGCCTGGGACGCTGGGACACAACAACTGTCATAAATATGAGTTAGTTGCCAAGCATCTAAATTCTGATCATGTGACCATAGGATTGCTGTAGAGGTCGTAACTATGAAAAATGGGCATAATTCACATTTTTCAGTGGCATTGAACTTTGAATGGTTACTAAACAAACTTTACTTTATTGTCATTGTACATATATACACAGTTTACACATACAACGAAATTCACATAACACCCAGAGACCAGGCCCAAACACACACACACACACACACATACCAAAAAAATTCCCCGGCCCTAAACCCCCCAAACATCCACACAACAGACCAAGTAGTGCTGTCCAATAGCTCATTGATGGTGGCCCTTTAGTTCATTGTTGAGTGTGATTATAGCTCTGGGATAAAAGCTATTCAGAAGAAAAGAAGTCCTAGTTTTAATTGTACTGTATCTTCTGCCAGAAGGCAACAGTCTAAAAAGACTGTAAGCAGGATGGGAAGAGTCTCTGAGAATGTTGTTAAGTCGAGGACTACCTGTATTGGGGAGACAAGGGGTGCCGAACCAGAAGATAACGTAAAGATCAAATCAAGAACTTTATTCTGAATTGCTCTCGTGTCATATCTAGTTAGCCCAGTGTCAGGATCTGAAGCAGACTTGGGAGAAGAGGATGCTTAACCCCCACTGCACATCAGATGTTCTCCAGATGTATTGGGCCATGTCTCCTACAACCATGTTCCTAGGCCAGCTAGAAATTATGAGGGTTGTAGCCCAGCACACCCAGAGGACACCAGTCTACCGAAGAAGGAACTGTAATGTGTGTGATTTCATCCTTTTAGAATCACTCTTCTGGAGAACAGCAAACATTGGCACTCAAAGCCATGATTAGTTTAGCGATGGTTTACTGAAAAAACCACCGCTGGGTTGGCTGGGTTCACACAATACACCGAACCATAAATCACGGTTAACAAATGACAATGGTTGGGTTCACGCATCACACCGAGCCAAAAACAATAGACATTCCGGCTTGGTGCGATGCCTCGCAGTCCAGTTTGATGCCACTTCCGATCACGCGAGGGACGATACAGAAAAGAGGTTTCCAAGGAGGTTGGCAGGACCCATGAATGCCCCCCTCCCCTGAAGATAGCTTGCAACTTCATCTAATTCTCTGAGGTAAAATGCCTGTGTCCATGGAGGTTCTAATTTAAAAGTAAGTAGCCCCCCACCCTCTATAAACAGGGCAATTATTCTAACGCCGTCTACGCTAGTGAATTCTACGTGCTGGCGTAGAAGGTAAGTGTACATCACAAAATAACTACTCCAAGGCCCAGCGTTTCTTCATGCGAAAAGCCATCCGAAGCACTGTCCCCACCCCCCCACCCCGCTACACACACACACACACCTGTGATGTTGAACTGGGTTGCGTTGAGCTCTTGGAGAAGCCGATCCAGTTCGCAAAGCCCGGCTCCGAGCACCCCGCTGGAGGAGGAGAAAGGTGGAGGGGCGGCTTCCTTTGCCTTTGGCGAGAGGGGCTTGCAGACTGTACTGAGGTGGGAGGCAAAAGAGGTGAAGATGAGCGGCCAAAGAGGTTTTGGGGGCAGCTCCTCCAAGCAGGGAAGAGTGAGAGTCTGAATTCACACCACACCTTGAAGAGAGCGATGCGGTGCCTGTCTCTTCAGGGAAGATGGGGAGGAAAGGGTGGCAGCTATTTATAGGATCCCTCCGCTTAATGGAAGCTCTGGACCGAGGCCAGAAGATCTGGGCAAAGCTCCCAGGGAGGCCAAATGCCTCCAGACTCCACTCTCCCCCCCCCCAATTCTTCCTCCATCCCCTGGGCAGTGCTTGCGACCCCAATATCCTGCCAGCTTAAAGGCCAGACGGGGGGGGGGGGGGGGGGGGGGGGGGGGGACGGGGACAGCGTGCTTTCCTCCAGGATGTTGGATATGAAGCTTCTGCCTTGTTAAGAGAGCAGACNTGTTTTTAATCTGTTTTGTGTATCTTGTTCTTGTCTTGTTTGTTTTTTGTATTTCCCGCTTTCCCCACTTGTTTGTTAGCCACCCTGAGTCCCTCGGGAATAGGGCGGCATACAAGTATAATAAACATCCAAACATCCAACATCCCACACCTGGCTAGCCTCGCCTAGCATGCCCCGCCACTGCCACCCCACCATGCTCCTCCCAGGAGTCTCCATGTGGCCCATTTTGGATGCAAGGTAAGTGCAAGGCCTGCACAGAGGCTCTGGGAGGGGGAAAAACAGGCCTTCCGGAAGGCCCCAGGAGCCTGGGGAAGGCAAAAATGCCCCCCCTCCCCCGCTGTGGTGCAGGAGGCTGACTAGGCCACGCCCCCATGGCCGCACCCACCCAGCAACCAAGCAAAGAACCCATTGCTGAAATTTTTGAAGCTCATCCCTGATTGGTTTACACCAAAACCATTGTAAAACATAATCTCACAACCGCAGGATGCTGCAAACAATTGTCAATGCAGCCGTATTGCTCAGCTCCTGAAGCTTGATCACGTGATCACAGAAGGGACCCTTTCTTAGGTTGGATGTAACTTCAGACAGTTACTGATCAGTGGTAAATCAAGGACTACCTGTCACTCAAGTGACGTAATTCCTGGCAAAACGTTTGAAGCCCCTTGAAAGATCCGGCTAGGCACATCTAAAGCAGGGGTCTCCAACCTTGCGAACTTTAAGGCTTCTGAAGTCCACAAATCTTAAAGTTGCCAAGGTTGGAGACCCCTGATCTAAAGAGCTCCAAACAGGATAGAACCGGTCAAAGTCAAAATCTCCCCCTGCCAGCTGCCGTACTGACCTTCCTCTCCAAAGGGCCGCCTGCACTTAACACAGCAGAAGTGCTCTGGGTGCCAATTCTTATCCAGCGCAGTCACCATTTTCTGAATGGACCACAGGAAGGCCGAAGAAGGGGAGGAAAAACACTTTGTCAAAAATGTGCTAAACATGGTTATTACCGCTCTGTATTTCCCAAGGTTTTTTTAACCCTGCTCAAGCCTCTTTTTTCAAACCTCCTATGTTTCAACCCAGGTCTTCTGTATAAAAGCTCCCTGTGAATGTCACAGCAAATTTCAAATCCTAATCCTATTGTCCATTGGTTGATGGCATTTATTTCCGGTTTTCTGGCAAAAATGCCCATGGAAGAAAATGAATTCGTTTAAAAAGCTATCCTGTTTGCTTACAGACCGCAGAGTTGGCTTAATGAGTGTCGCAAAAAAAGAAAAAAAGAAGATAAAATCAGGCAGTCAGGTGGGTTTAGGAGAGGAGTGTCAAAAACTCAATTTCATTGAGGGACGCATCGGGGTTGTGTTTGACCTGGGGTGGCCAGTTCAACATCACTCATGTTGGCGCCTGTGGTGGCCCAAGCGCTCTACCAGCGAAAACAGGCTCCCGAGCTGTGTTTTCGGCTGTGATGGCTGCCTCCTGTAACCCTCTGCCAGTGAAAACAGAATGGCCCTCCAGAGCTCCGTTTTCACTGGCAGAGGGTTGCAGGAGGCCATTGCAGCCGGAAACAAAGCTCAGGAGCCCGTTATTGCTAATAGAAGCACCATGCGCCGGTCCTTCACTGTTTCCAGGGTGGCCCTGCAGGTCAGATCTAAGCACCCCGTGGGTCAGATCCGGGCCCCGGGCCTTGAGTTTGACACCCCTGATTTAGGACAATTCACTGCAGCCAACTGGCCACGGCCATTTTGCCGCAGCCAACTCGCCGGACAGGAGTTACACTAACGTCAAGAAATGGTGGAATAGAATAATTAAAGAAAGGATGCCAAAAGAGGGACAAAGTGAAATGTGAATGACAAAAATTAAAATGACTTTTAAATAATTAAACTGAATTTTTGAGTTGACCTGTGGCGAGTTGGCTGAGGCGAATTGTTGGGTGGTGACCCATGAACGGTCGCCATGATTTATAACTGTAATTCTGGCCTCCATTACGGCCATGTCACGTTTCATGCCACCCCTCGGGAACTGAAAGCTGCAGGTGTTTGCACCCTGCGAACAACACAACACCCAGTGATTTCTAACCCTGTCAGAGAATGAAACACAGGGAAGGCCCTTTTAACAGCTTTGTGGTGTGAAATAAAAAGAAAAAAACTGCACGTCTCTCTCTCTCTCTACTGCTATCCAGCACTTCAGGCCCTTGAGGAGAAAAAGGGTGAAATGAATGAGCAGACCCCAAAACCCACATTCAAGATTGGACTCTCAGAAAAATCACACACAGATCGCACACACAGCACTTGCTCAAAACTGCACCACACGTTTTCAAGCAGGAGGAAAAAAAAAACCTCACATCCAGGATGGGTTCGTTGCAGAATCCACAGCGGGGAGAGAAAAGCTGAAAGTAATCTCTCTCGCAGTAGGGGGCGCCGTCCTTCTCAAAAAAGTTGCTGCCCCCCATCTCCTTCTGGCAATAAGTGCAGACAAAATGCTCCGGGTGCCAAGTACTCCCCAAGGCAGTTACCACCTGGATGAGGGGGAAAAAATGGAAGAAAGAAGGCCCCGTGAACAACGTCTCCATCAGACGGCGACATTACAGGTAGTCCTCGAATCAGAACAGTTCGTTCAGTGACCGTACGAAGTTACAATGGCGCGGAAAAGACCGTTTTTCACACTTACGACCATTGTGACATCCCCATGCTGACATCCCCGGCTCATATTTATGACGGTTGTAGTGTGCCAGGGTCACATGATCACATTTTGCGATGAGCTTCTGGTGAGCAAAGTCCATGGGGGAAGCAGATTCACTTAACAACTTGCAGTGATTCACTTAACGGCCGTGGCAGGAAAGTTTGTAAAATGGGGCAAAACTTACTGAACAAATATCTCACAGCAACAGAAATGTTGGGCTTCATTGTGGTTATAAGTTGAGGGCTGCCAAAATTGATTGATTGTATTTCCTGCCTTTGTTATTTTTACAAATTATTCAAGGCGGGGAACATATCCAACATATCTTTCTCCTCCTATTTTCAACCACCCTGTGAGGTGGGCTGGGCTGGGGAAGATTGACTGGCCCAGGCAGCCGATTTTCAGGCCTAAGGTGGGACTAGATCTCACAGTCTCCTGGAGACTGGCCCGAATCCACTCATATGGCTTTCATGCCCAAGGGGAACTAGAATTCACTGCTCCTGGTGACTGGCCCAGTCACCAAGCTGGCTTTCATGGCTAATGCAGGACTTGAATTCACTGTCTCCTAATTTCTAGGCCAGCATCAGATCAAACTGACTCTATGAAAGATCTCTGCTCCAAAACGTTTTTTGCTCCTCTCTTCTTCCACAGACTGCAGTTTATTTATTTGTTATTTTATTTATTAAATTTATTTTCTGCCGTCTCTCAGGGCGACTCTTGGAAGCTTTCATCATAAAAACAGAAGTACAAAATTAAAGATTAAAATGAAGAAAGATGAAATGACTTAAAACCCAGAATATTCTTTTCATTAAACTAGACACTATATCCAATTCCAGCAACCATTCTTGATGTGTTTTAGCCTCCTCGATCTAAACCAGGGGTGGGTTTCAAATTTTTTTTACTATTGGTTTGGTGGGCGTGGCTAGATAGGGGGCATGTGACTAAGTGGGCATGGCCAACTTGATGTCACTCACGCCCCCTTACCAAGGCATGGTCACTGAAATGGTGGCAAAAATTTTCACGGGGGGAGGGGAGGCTCCAGCCTCGCCGGAGCTAAGGGAGCGCCTGTAAACTACCCAGTAAGGGGGAAAAAAATGTGCTCCCTAGGCCCCAGGAACACTCTGCAGGCTTCAGCTATGCTGGGAAAAGGAAAAAACGCCCGTTTTGGCGAAAAACAGGCCTTTTTTTTTTTTTGCAAAAATGGGGGCATTTTTCCCTTCCCCCAGCCCTGCTGAAGCTTGCATGCTGCTTCTGGAGGCTGCGAGAAGGGGAAAAGGCCTCAGTTTTAGCAAAAAACAGCCCATCTCTGGGATATTTCTGGGACTGGCATGTGCTCACAATTAAAAAAGGGTGGGAATTACATTTTTTCAATGAAGATTGTTCTGCGCATGTGCAGAACAGAAAATAAAGATGGCGGCACCCGGGATAGAACTGGTAGGGTCACGTGTCCAGCCGAGTTACTACCTATTTGGCCAAACCAGTCCGAATCGGTAGGAACCCACCTCTGATCTAAACCTAGATATAAACCTAAGTCTAAAACTTACCATCTTTTCGGAGTATAAGATGCACCTTTTTCCCTCAAAAAAGAGGCTAAAAATCTGGGTGTGTCTTATACACTGAATACAGCATTTTTTGCCTCCTNGGGGAAAGAAAGGAAGGAAGGAAGGAAGGAAGAAAGAAAGAAAGAAAGAAAGAAAGAAAGAAAGAAAGAAAGAAAGAAAGAAAGAAAGAAAGAATAGCATGATGCTATTAATTGGCCGAGAATTTATTTCCCCTCAGTTCCAGCACTTTAAGCGGGTAGCTAAGTGTTTTTCAAATTTAGCAACTTTTTAAATGTATGGACTTCAACCCCCAGAATTCCCTTTGCTGGCTGGGGAATTCTGGGAGTTGAAGTCCACACGTCTTAAAGTCACTCAATTTGAAAAAACACTGGATTAGACTGAACAAATGAATTGATACAGTTGTCTTCCACTACTCTCAACCCACCTGAGAGTTGTAAGATGAAGTTGTTGGCTTGGAGACTGGAGTCCTCTCTTGATTGTGGGATCCCCCGGAGTCGGTGAGTAGAACGGGGCGTTTGGAGATATGAGAGGTGGTGGTCTCGAGATCAGCCAGGAGAGCATCTGGAGGGCAAAAGACCGCACAACCGAGAATGAGACACAAGGAGAAACAGAGGCGGCAGAAAGGGAAGGCGGACCCAAATATTAAGGGGAGACAACAGAGGAAAAGTCTTCTGAACAGCAGAGGAAAGAGAAGCATTGCAAAGAAGTACAGGAAGTCCTCCACTTACAACAGTTCATTTAGTGACTGTTCTAAGTTGCAACAGCACTGGAAAAAAGTGACTTATGACCAGTGGTGGGATTAAACAATTTAACAACCGGTTCTGTGCCTGAATGATTTCTTCCAATAACCGATTCTCCAAACTGCTCAGAAAGTTAACAACTGGTTCTCCCGAAGTGGTGCAAACTGGCTGAATGCTTATGACCACTTTTCGCACTTAAAATCATTGCAGCATCCTCTAAAGTCACTTCATTGAAATTCAGATGCTTGGAGAAAGGAAATAGGAAAAGGAAGGAAGGAAGGAAGGAAGGAAGGAAGGAAGGAAGGAAGGAAGGAAGGAAGGAAGGAAGGAAGGAAGGAAGGAAGGAATTAATATTTATGATGGTCACAGTGCCCCGAAGTCATGTGATTATCTTTTGCGACCTTCTGACAAGCAAAGTTAATGGGAGAAACCAGCTTCGCTTAACAACCATGTAACCATCTTAATAACTGCTGCGATTCACTTAACAACCAGGGCAAGAAAAGTCATAAAATGGGGCAAAATTCATTTAACAAATCTCCCGCTTAGCAACAGAGATTTTGGGCTCCATTGTAGTCATAAATCGAGGACATTCTCTACCTGCACATCCCTTGTTTGTTTGTTATTCCCATCCTAAAGCAGAAATTCAGGTTTGTTCTCCAAGGCGAACACCAAAAGTTATTCCACTGGGAAATTTGTGATTTATAATATTATTATTATTATACAATTGTATCACAGCGGCCAGTTGTTTCACCGGATTTGGCATTNTTCCTCCATCCCCTGGGCAGTGCTTGCGACCCCAATATCCTGCCAGCTTAAAGGCCAGACGGGGGGGGGGGGGGGGGGGGGGGGGGGGGGGGGGGGGGACGGGGACAGCGTGCTTTCCTCCAGGATGTTGGATATGAAGCTTCTGCCTTGTTAAGAGAGCAGACGACTGTTTCCAGCTGTGTTTCTGCCACCAAACAGCTGCCCTGATAGCAGAAACAGCAGCTGCTCCCTCTTGTTTCCAGCAGGGACGACAGAAATCATAAAAACAGGATCTGCCTTTCTTTATGCAAGCAGACCAGCCCTGCAGAGCACTGGAGTGACTTCCAACATCTGGCTCTTTCCCAAACCGCATCACCACCTTCATCATCATGTGTTTTCAAGGCCCAAGCTTGAAACCTGGGGGCCTTAGGGTGATCCTGGCAACAGCATGGAAATAGTGTGATTTCTCTTTTAAAAAGGCTTTTCTACTTTTACATCTAGCTTAGTGTAGGGATCTCGTAGTGGTCTACCATCCAGTGACGAACAAGCCTGCTTAGAATTCCCAGAGATTAGTCAAGGCCTGTTTGATGCAGTTATTTCTGTCCCTTTGTATTTCAGGTTCTTTCCCCCCCCCCAACCCCCCTGTAATGGTTAAGCAAATAAAATCAAACGAAGGGTGCCTACTATAAATGTTAAAGGAACCCATCAGCAAACCTCTGCCCTTCGATTTACCTGTAGAGATGCTCCTTGTCGCTCCCGCCTTGCAGGGGTGGTGTTGGGATTGGATCAACCGGCATGGCTGCTTTTCCAGCCTGAAAGAAACGAGATGATACAACTTATATAAAGCAGAGCTGGAATAGAACTGGACTCAGAAGGCAAGTAAGAATTTCGGCTTAGTCTGAATGATGCAACTTCTGCAGCAAAGAACAGCAGAAGACTTGAAAAACTGAAGTCTGAGCATGTTAAAGTTGAAAAACTTTCAACCAAGGTTGAAAAGCATTGCTCTAAAACAGACCCAGGCTACATCTGGCCATCCTTGTCCAGCCCACATGGATTACTTTTCACTTTGAAGGACGCTGCCAATATTTTTTATGGATGTCCGTGCATCCCTTCACATCTTCAGAGCTAGCCTGGCCCTCCACAACAGTTCCAGTTTCTGATGTGGCCCCTTGGGAAAATTAATTGCCCACCCCTGCTCTAAAGTCTCCAGATGTTTTTTTCCCTCCTGAAATGTAAAGCTAGGAGCAATATGATAGGCCCACTAATCTAAGCAGTCGACTTCCTTAATTGTAGTAGAACTCTATTCCATTAGCACCCAATTGCCACAAGTACTATGGGTGATGTCATTTGTATCATGACATCGCTTGTGTGATGACATCATTATGCCATGATATCATCGGAGCTTCTGCCAGACACCAGTGAGACTTGCGGTAAAATTCCAACCACTTGGGTTTTTTCCAAGAGTCCCAAAGGCAGAACATTATGTTCTTTGCCCCTGGAAACTGGAAACGTCTTAAAGTTTTTGTAAGTTTCTGTAAAATGTAAAGCTTTTATAGGTTTATGGAAAAATTTGCTCATAAAGGGGCAGCTGGATTAAAATGCATGTGCGCCTATTATAGAAAACTGGGCTAAATTCCCATTTGGATCTGTGGAAGTGCAGAGAGACACCACGAATGAAGCTGCATTTTGTCAGAGAAATTAATTTCAGAGGGGAAACAGATCTGCTGAATTAATAAATACAGAAACTGGTTTTTTAGTAGGGAGGCACAAGGCTGGAAACTAACACATAGAAG